ATTCCTCAGCCAGGATGGGGAATTCTGGGAATTGAAGTCTGCACATCTTAAAGTGGCTGAGGTTGAGAAACACTGGTGTGGATTATAGGAATAAATATTCTCCATGGGAAGTCCCCTGTTTGAATCTCAATTCTGCCATGGATTCACCTAGGGAATTTAGGAAGATCAGACTTTCTCTGTTTTACTTATGGGTATGAAGTATAGCATGCTGGCTTATGCATCACACTAAGCCACGGTTTGTTGAATAAACCAGGGTTGGCTGGGTTTTCTTTAAATGCAGCGCTGAAGACACCTTAAAGTTTATCACAGCATGAGAGAGTTGTTAGTAATAACTGCTCAAACATTTGGCTGTAGAATTAGCAGAACTAGGAATGCTTTGGTAAATTGCAGTCAAGCCAAAACACTTGGATTTATTATTTAAGAAAAGCAACTCCCCCCCCCCTTTTTTTCCTGCAAAATCAAAATTTAGGGGAAGGCTAGGGGTGAATTTTCATGTTAAAAGACCAGGAAGTTGTTTCTGTGGCTGTTAGCAATTAAATATGTTTTTGTCGCTTAACCCAAGGGTATGTCCACTTTCCACTCAGTCCCTTCTTTTACCTGGGTATAAATGGCAGCCCTGGAGGTTTAAGTCAAAAATAAAAATCAACCCATGGGCTAAAAATACGTCCAGTTGCCTGAGCTCCCATACATAAAGTGTTGCTCTTCTCCAGAGGAAGCGACTGGATTATCATCTTTTCCCCCTCTTCTTACTTAGTTCCTTTTGCTTACTCCTTGCAGATTACGTCTACTTTGAGAATTCCTCTAGTAATCCCTACCTCGTCCGTCGAATCGAGGAGCTCAACAAGGTATGGGGGGGGCTGGGCAAATTGGGTGGGAATGGCTCTTCCCTGGAGCTGGTGATCCGTCGCATCCAGGGAAAGCTGGGGACATTAGGGATGGGGCAGGATGTGGGGAAACCTGAGGCTTTCAGGGCTGGAGCATTTGACTGAGCGGCCGCTTTTCCCTCTCCAGACGGCCAACGGCAACGTGGAGGCCAAGGTGGTCTGCCTCTTTCGACGCCGCGACATCTCCAGCAGCCTCAACAGCCTGGCTGACAGCAACGCTCGTGAGTAGCCGTGGCTTCTGGCCTGCTAGACCAGGCTAGCTTTCTCCTCGCCATCCTGGGAAGGCTTTGGGTCAGAAGGGAGGCTTTGAGATGCAGAAAACGGCCTGGCTTTTGGGGTGGGGGCTGCGCGGCCCTAGATTTGAAGATGAGAGGTTCCCCCCTCCACAGCAACAAGGACGCAGCTCAGCCAGGAGAGTGAAAAAAGAGGGACTGCGTGAAAGGCTGCCCCACCCTCTGCTTGGCACAGCCGGGCCCTTAAAGTCCGAATTGCGGATGTGAATGCGGAAGCCCGTTTTCTTGTGGGTTTTGATCTGTACAGAACACGCATGTGTGTGTGCTTGCAGGTGGAATAGTGAAGGGCAGAGAAGAAGCTGGCTTTTTTT